GTAGGAGATGACCAGGCTGAGCCCGAAGGAGGGGTCAAGCGTGTCATTAGTCTCCCTTCGTGCCAACAAGAGTTCTAAGTCCAGCCCTCCTTGAATTCTCTTGACTCTTATCTACCGCCAATTTGCTTTGATAGTTAGCAGTTCAAATTCTTGTTTAGAGATAGCATGGAATAAACTTGTTCCTGATTTCTTACACCTGACAGTGTCTGATCCAAAGCCATCCAGGGATCTTCCATGGTTGAATATTAGAACTCACGTCTCCCAACTCCTAGTCTAGCAGCTTCACCACTAGACCACACTGGCTGTCCTATTTCATGGGTAGGAAATCTGAGTCCATTTTGAGCCCTCTTTGATTACAGCTGTAGAAAACTTTTGCCATGATTTCCTGCTGTCATAACCTGTACCGTAAGCCACAAACTCATGTCTAGGGTCACCCCAAATAACAAGATGGCTGGCATATAAATTTAATAATAAATAAAAATAAATAATAATAATAATATAGGGTGGGTGGCATACAAATGTAATCATAATAAATAAAAATAAATTAGGGTAATATAGAATAATATAAAAGTACCTCTCCCCCCAAATCCCAGCCCTTTCCATTTTGCATTACAACCCTGTTTGTTACGACTTCAAAGTCACAAATATTACGAGAAGCTTCCGCCTGTCAACAGAAGAAAAGGTTTTCAGCTCTAATATTATTTTTTAATACAAATATTTAAACTTAAAGAGTCCAAAGAGGTACCATCTTAGGGAAAGCACCATTGGTCAGGCATAAAAAAAGAATCGAGAAAAGGAAGCCCTTTTTTCATTTGCAAACTTTGATTATGTTAATCTACATAATGCACGTTAACGCACCTAACTGATCAGTCATTCAAGATCAACTGATCGACCGGTTCAGATATATTTGATTAACCAAAAGCTTTGGAAGATGGCATTTCCCTTATCTAGCTGGGCACTGATGCTCTGAGCCAAGGCAGATTTTTAAGATGGTGTTAAATTCAGAGAGAGAAATCATTTAAAAGATTTCCACAAAAGAAGAGATAAATTTCTTTCGCCTACAAGACAGACGCATGAAAAGGATTTAAAGTATAGAGAAGTAACGTCAGATTAGATCAAACATTCTAATCAAATGAGGTGTTAACCAAACAGAACAAGGAAGCCTGTGAAGATGTCAAATTGCCTTTTTTTCTTCTTTTTTTCCCCCTTCCCTTTTCCCTTTCATGAAGAGTTTGGATAAAAAGTTTGGTTTCAGCTGAAGAAATCCATCCTCAGTTATGGGATTCAAATGGACTAAAATTATATGTAAGGCTATGTAAGGATTATATGCCACATTTTGACTGATCCTTACGTATTCAACTTTAATCACTGATATACAATTTTGGCTTTTGCTCTGCCTAACAAAAGAAAAATATCCCCCTCTGTGAATGTCAGGATTTAACTGTCTACTCTTCATTCATCCCTGCAATTCAATTGAACAAGAGACCCATTTGTAAAATATATGCAGACATCTCATGTATGGGTTTTTCCCTTAATTCTGACACTTGAAGCTTCTTAAATACTTTTAAGAGCCTGCCTATAGTTGAGGGGAGAGGACAAAGGGTTTTTTAAAATTATTATTATTATAGGAGGGTTCACCATTTCCCCCTGTTGTACCTTCAATGAACATCATCCACAAACTTGTAATCAAGAGGGAGGCAACTTTGACAATGTAAATAGAACTGAGAAGATTTTTGGCTGGATCAAATCCTGCCTGCATAATCCTGAGGTGCCCTCCTTCTCCATGGTTACTACCTGTTGTCATGTAATGAAGAGCAGTTCATTTAGAAGAGGGAGAGCCTGGGGGAGGAGTCAAGAGGACACTCAGCCTAGAATCACTGCACCGCTGCAAGCAATCTAAGTCCAGTCCCCCTTGAAGTCTGTTGACCCTTATTTAGTGCCAATTTAGTGCTGCTCATTAGCTGACTAGGTTCTTGTGTATAGGCACAAGCAATAAATTCTCTTAATGTTTTGCACCTGAAAATAACCTTCTTTAGTTTCATTGTCACCCTTAATTTCTAAAGAATGAATTAAAGCAGTGATGATTCCTTTTCCACCCAGCAATTGGGGCTTGGGGTACTTTCCAGGGACAATTTCACTATATAGTTATTTGTTCTGCTTTCATTGCTTGGTTTATGTGACATTCCCTCCCAAATCAATCTGTTGAATCGGAACAGGATATAAATTTATTCAATAAAATAAATAGCCTCATAATGTCACGTAGACAAAATAGCACCCTTTTTATTTTCCAAACCTATCAGCTGATTTTGAGATCAACCTCTTAAAAGACTGACCTAAAACTGTGTAAGAAAACACAGTAATGGATCAATGTTAAGTATATCAAAGTTAGATAAACAAACTCTTTGGTGTGGTGACAGTACATGCCTCACACAGCACAACTCCCTTTTTCATCCTCCCCATTTCAACTGTAATGCTGCAAGTTGTGTTAATGAGGATTTGTTCTCTGGATGGTGGAAGCGAAAGATTTAATATTAAAAACTACAAAATCTTGGCTAGTTTCTTTTAAAGTATATGAACCAAGATAAAGATAATACTGACGCTATTAATAACAGCCACAATGGGAGTCTAATTAAAATAGTGAGAAACATACAGGAAATAATTGGCAGATTGAAAAGACTTTCTTATTTTAAAAAAAAAGTCGCTTGTTTGGTGTCTGCCAAGTTCTGTATTGCCTTTTTTTTTTTGCAAGAAAATCTTTTGCTACCTAGAGATTTCTGAAACCATTAAAAAGTTGGCCATAGTTTCTTTATGGTGCCCAAAGTATTTTAGTAAATTGGACCTTAATTGGAACCTTGCCCTGTAAGGCGACAGCTATTTGTAGCATCCAGTTGAAGGGCTACTCATTAAAAATGATCAAGGGAATTGATTATTCTTCAGACAATCTATGTGCATTTGGCCTTTTCAACCAAATGGAATGAGGATGAGTGAACATCCTTCAGCCCTCTCTTCCCTTTCTTGTTCTCACCACCATTCTTGGTAAATGTTTAGGATTCAGCACTGTATAAATTGATTTCTATAGCTGTAGGCCTTCCCATCTCTTTGTGAAGATTGTCAAGACAAGTATTGCTGTTGTTATTCAGTGGCTAAGTCATGTCTGACTATTCATGATCCCATGGCCATAGCATACCAGCCCCTCCCCCTGTCCTCCACTGTCTCCCTGAGCTTGCCCAAATTCATGCACCCTGTGTTGATGACACTATCTAACCATCTCATCCTCTGCCATCCCCTTCTATTTTTGCCTTCAGTCTTTCCCAACATCAGGGTCTTTTCCAATGAGCCTTCTCTTCTCCTGGCTTCAATATCTGTCCTTCCAAAGGACCAGCAGGGTTGAATGAGTTCCTTTAGGATTTAGGATTGACTGATTTGATCTCCTTGCAGTCCAAGGGGCTCCCAAGAGTCTTCTTCAACACCCACAATTCCCTTTCTAACAGAACTGAGAGTGAATACTCTTTTCTTGAACTGTGGTGTTGAGAAGACTCTTAAGAGTATATGTAGATGTATCACATATATGTGAACTCTTGAAGGCAGCTTGTGTACTCTCTGCATAAAGAGAGTACATTTTGAATTGATTTTACTTACTTGTTAGTGTAAACTCATACTTCCTACAAAGGTTCTTGGAGTCAGTGTAAGATCGGTCAATAAAATGCAGAAAGAACAGTAATGCTAATTGCAACGTAAAAGCCTATATTTGACCTGACATATGTTTAGATCATTGCTTTTCCCTGCCCTTGTATTTGTTTTATTGATTGGTCCTTGGTTGTAGACCCTATCCTTTTTTTTTAAAAAAAATATCTACTAGGTTATTGAATGTTAAACAATTTATAATCAAACACAGATTCTGGAATCTTCCTGTAAAAGAGATGGGGGGAAATGTCTGTTCTAACTTACAAGATTTTGTTATTGTAACCTTACAGCTTTACATAAAGTATAATTAGCTCATTCAGCTGTGTCTTTTCTCTGGCCTACCTCACAAAGTTAACGTTGATCTTGCCAGTCTGCAAGTACAGGTAGTCCTCAACCTACAACCCCAATTGAGCCCAAAATTTATGTTGTTGAGTTTTGCTCGAATTTACTTCTCTTGTCACATCTGTTAAATGAATCATTGAAGTTGTTAAATTAGTAACACAGTTGTTAAGTGAATCTGGATTTCCCATCGTCTTTGCTTGTCAGAAGGTTGCAAAAAGGGATCACATGATCCCAGGACACCGCAACCGTCATAAGTATGAACCAGTTGTCAAGCATCCAAAGGTAAATCACGTGACCATGGGGATGCTATCCCGGTCGTAAGTGTGAAAAATAGTCATAAGTCACTTTTTTCAGTGCCATTGTAAATTTGAATGGTCACTAAATGAACTGTTGTAAGTTGAGGACTTCTTGCTTCTTTCCCCTTGTCCCCTATACATCCCAAGAAACTAGGGAGGGTGTCCTCTGAGCTTTTTGCTCTGTCCAGATTCCTGATGTGGGTTAAATTGACTTTTATATGACCATCCCACTGGCTGTATCTCTTTGACCTGTCTCCTAAGGCAGGGGTCCCCAAACCCTGGGCCGTGGACCGGTACCGGGTCACAGCATGCCAGCAACCGGTCTGCACAAACAAGCAAAGCCTCATCCATGGAATGTAGGCAGCACACAAAACCATGCTTCCTCCGGTCGTGGAAAAACATCTCTCCAGGGAACTGGTCCCTGGTGCCCAAAAGGTTGGGGACCTCTGTCCTAAGGCCACATACCATTATGGACATAACATTTATATCAGTACACAAACAGCTCTGGAACACTCGTTAAAGCAAAAGGAACAATAAATGCAAGAAAAACATCGCAACCGAATTATCGATTATTGATAAGATTTGCTTCTGAACAATGAGCTAAACACCTAATTCTTCCTCCAAATCTCAGCAACAGGAGTGGGAAGGAGAGGTGCAATAAAGCAAAACAGGACTTACCAATAACATAAGCCAGCAACAATGCCAGTGTGACTGTGATTGCTGTAGCACTCAAGGCGGTGCACTTCCAGTTGCAACATCTATAAGGCTTGTTAAAAGCGAAAGCCGGTCGCGAAAACGTCGTTCTAGGAAGTGGTCTGGGAGGTGGTGAGTAAACTGTATTAGAAGTCAGAGGATAGTTCTGACTGGCAGCGCTGAAGATAGCGGAAGACCCAGATCCATGTTTAAACAGGAAATGCCTAGGTAAAGAAGACAAAGGGCTAAGTTGGAGAAACCCAGATTCACTTGCAGATTGAGGAAGGCAGAACAAATACTGGGGGCATTTGCAGAAAGGGCCAACAATGAACTGCAGAATGGGACAACTTGCCATAGCCAACTCGCTCCGGCCAACTCACCATGGCCAACTCACCACGGTCAACTCACCATGGCCAACTCACCACTGGACAACTCATTATGACCAACTCACCACGGTCAACTCACCACTGGACACTCACCATGGCCAACATATCATGCAACAACTCACCGCGGGACAATTTAATGATTCTCCAGCATGATTGGATGGAGAATCCACAAATGGGTTGTCTTAATCTTCCTGCTCCAATAGACTAAGTCTGAAGTGTAGACACGTCTCTACTGTGCCATCTGCACCCCAGTTTTAGACTTAGTCTTCAGCTCTACTGACGCGTTTTTAAGCTCTTGGAGCAGAAAGATTAATTCTGGTTCTTATAAATCTTCTTTAAAAAATTTTTTCCTGTCAGACTAGCTGGCTTATTGGACTTATCATTAATAGAGAGTCCTACCTCAACTTTTGCAGGCACTGCCTGCCCCATCCGAGCCAGCAGGCTCCACACGGCCATCGTGGATTGACCCTGCCACCAGGCAGCCCCATTTATCACCTTTGCTGGCTTTTGCCTCTCTGGCAGCCGACTGGGGCAACAACTCACCGCGGGACAATTTAATGATTCTATTTAATTATTTAAAATAAATTCTAATTTTTTTTTAAAAAAAAATGGCCATTCACATTTCCTTCTTTCCCTCCTTTTGCATCCTTTATTTAATGATTCTATTCCACCATTTCTTTTATATTAGTGTAACTCTTGTCCCCCAGTGAGTTGTCCTGTGGGTGAGTTGTCCTGGTGGATGAGCTGGCCATGGTGAGTTGGCTGTGGCGAATTGTCATAGACCCAATATAATTTGTGTAATAACCTCATTGTGCAAATGCTGTGACTTAGGTATGCAAATCAGATAGGCAGATGCAAGTTCATAAGCACAGCATTTAAATGATGATGTCATTAGGTCCAGTTTGCTGTCCGTGGTGCTGGAAATACATTGCACAGTTCAAATGGGTTTCCCATAGATAGAGAGAATGCTACGAGATGAGATTAACTGCACATTCCTAGACATGTTCCCTTAATAGTTAATTTAATTCCACTCAATAGAGCTTACTACCAGAGAAATCTGTTTCTGATTGCATTTTTTAAAGTATAAAACACACTCTTCCCCATTCATTATGCATTTTTTAATAAACATAAGCTGCAGCCTATGCAATCTGAGTATGCCTTTCACTATTTTCTTTTTAAATTAGATTTTGACAAATCTGTTTAACTGGCATTAGGCCAAATGCATATTTCACATTCTGTAGCCTCTTTCGTTCAATAAATTTTCAGACGGCTGTGTTACAGTTTATAAAACTCCTGATGCATACACAGGAAGAGACAGATCCTTGGAGTTACCTTCTGGCCAGTGATGAACAGCCTTCAGACACTAGGCAACCTCATATTTGATAGCTCAAGTGTAATCTCCTCCATGTAAAAATAATTCCAAGTTTCAAGAAATGGTAAAAAAATTATGAGACTTTAGCAGTCAAGCTCTTTATTTATTTTAGTATATGGCATACAATATCAGGGAAATCTACAAATGTTAGACAGTGTGCAATCCTGACAACCTAATTGCTAGTTCATTCTATCCTTGCTGTACTGCAAGAAGCAAACTAGCTTTATATCAGCTGACTAGTAGTGCTCATGTTGCTGGCTCTTTTCGGCTCCTCCGCTGATCTCTATTCTATTCTATTCTATTCTATTCTATTCTATTCTATTCTATTCTATGCTATGCTATGCTATGCTATGCTATGCTATGCTATGCTATGCTATGCTATGCTATGCTATGCTATGCTATTCCATTCCATTCCACTCCACTGCATATATTCTATTCTATTCTATTCTATTCTATTCTATTCTATTCTATTCTATTCTATTCTATTCTATTCTATTCTATTCTATTCTATGTACATTTGTTCAAAAATTGTTGCCCTATTATGCACTGTTTTTCCTAATTAAAATGATAGAAACAAGAGTTTTAGTGGTATATACATTATGTTCAAGGTTTTCTGGCTTGTTTACATGTTGATATCAAGATGTATCAAAGAGGTATTAAAATCTAGAATAGCCTTATAAACGGGGCTAGCTAGATTTTCTTTTGGATTCAATTGTTATGAGATGATAGCTCATAATAATGACAATGTTATTATGTAATGGTGACAATGTTAATTAAAGCAATATTAAAAGTAGACTCATTATCTATTGAGAGATCACAAGATGTTACTAACATTGATAAAAGTAAGGGGAAGTTCTCATCAACAATTTGGGCAGGAAATTACTGGGAACTTAAGAGTATGAAATACATGTAATAGAATATTAACTGCAGCTATTTGATTAGTTATTTACCCAGTGGAGGTGTTTCCATGTGTGTGAACAAGTTAATATTGCCTAAAGATTTAATCTATATTTTCAACAATTAACTTTACATTTTTGAAACCAACACAATCCATTTACACACTGAAAGAGTGAATTGGGGTATTGAAAAGCCAATATTTACATATTTTAATATATGGATTTGCTTTCACAGCTCATGAAAAAGAGTTTAAACCTGTGGATATCAATGTGTTGAAAAACACAAATCTTTGCTTTTTACCTGTTTCCCTGTAATTAAAGAGATTTAAAAGTTCTTAACTTCTACCATGTTATGACATATTTTATTAATTGTGTATATTTCCTTATGCTTCACAGGATAGTTCAAAAACTGCAAAAATGCATTTTAATTCATATTCTCTTGGAGAGTAAATCTCAACATTTCAAAGTATTAGATGCTTTATATTACAATCCTAAAACATTTATTTAGAAAGATATTCAATTAATAATGGCTGTTCCGGGGGAATGATTCTACGTTATTGTGCATAGTTACTTAGTCTTTGTAGGATACAGTTCCATATATTAACATACATAATGCAGATGCATAGAACTTTACTGTTAACTTTACACAAGTATACAGAAGTGAACATATTGAACAAATAGTATACTGCTCAAAAAAAATAAAGGGAACATTTTAACATGGAACTGAAGGAGTTTGCGTTCCCTTTATTTTTTTGAGCAGTATATTTATTCCATGTGGAATAAATTTGTTGTAATGATGGCTTCATGAGAATGGATTTAAAAATTGAGGCGCTGTTAATATAATGAAAATTAAGAACTGGTTATTTTCTTTGATAGGTGTTCAGTCAGAAACTCTCAGAATGTACCATAGAAACAGACATTGTCGTAGTTAATAGGGTTCCAAAGTCACAGTAAGCCATAACCCAGCCATGTGGTTTATTCAACGGAGCATAATTAAATCATCGACAATTTGGCCAGGTTGATGATGTGCTTGCAATGTTGGTGGCTTCCCTACCACAGCAGGAAAATGTGAGATAAGATTTTGATCAATGATTCCTAGATCAAAAGGTTTTATTTAGGCTTCCTTAATGTGAAGAAATGTAGCAAGGAGATTGATTCTCGGGGTGGGGTGGGGTCCGTTCCAGAGGAGCAAGAGGTAACTTAGCCCAGATATTATGTGTGAGAGAAAGAGGGTGAAGACAGCCCCTTTCTAATAGTTCCCAGAATATGTTGTAAATGCAGATAGTAGAGTCCTCAATCTGGCAAGATTTTGTCTATAAGCGTGAAGCAATAAAGAACTCAGCTTGGAAGAATGGTCCCTGGTTTGGGGCCTGACTATGGAATTCTGGGAGTTTAAGTCCACCAATGGTGGCTGCGGGATTCTGGGAGTTGAAGTCCACACATGTTTTGATGCAATGTAGTGAGGGAATGGATTCACTGAGTGTTGTATCTTATGATTTATGATGAATGTTTTTTATGATTATAATCATGAATTATCACTTGTTACTTGTCTGTACACTGAGAGCTTCTGCACCGGAGACAAATTCCTTGTGTGCCCAATCACACTCGGCCAATAAAGAATTCTATTCTATTCTTCTATTCTATTTAAGGAAGCAACGTCAGGAACAGAACGTGGAAAAAGGAGAATAAGGTAAATTCTGTTTGGGCTTTCTTTCCCATTCCAAGAAATGTTTTAACGATTTTTGGAGAAAATATGGCAATTTGATTTTATTCCCCATTTTCTTCTTCCATCAACAAATGTCCAGAGTAGATTGCTGTCAGTCACAGGCCAATCAAACATGTTAATCAGAGGTTTGTTTGTTTTTTAAAGAAGTCACAAAATTCTGAATATATTTGCCACTGAGGTGTACTGCACTCAATAATTAACAACTACTACAAAATTAGTTTAGAATGATCCAAAGCTGAACAGCAACAATTCAAACATAAAAGCAGTTTGAAAATAGCTAAGGAAGTGTGTCAATCAGAAATAGTTTCATTAGTCCTTTAAAGTAGAGATTTGAGCGGGTCGATAAGAAGTGGCAACTGTATTATTTCTAGAAAAGCTAAGATGATCATTATGTTAGGCCTCTGAAGAAACTGCTGGCTACAATTTGCTTTAAATTGCTAGTTCAATGGAGTATTAGCATTCCATCGCCAGGACAATGTTATTTATTTTCTGAGTATTAGTGGTATAAATGGTGATGCTTAGATAGTAACAATATTCTTACAAATCCAACCTTTATCTCTCTGGATGAATACGTGCAGCATTATTTTAACATATCACTGATGCCTTTGCTATCTGTCTGATAAAATGGGACAATCTTTATATAGAGCAAAATGCTGAAAATAGCAATTCGGGAGTTTAGATATGTAAGCATAGCTCGACACACTTAAATATTCAGTCTACAAACACAGCAAAAATGAATAACAAAAATCCACACTTCCCCCCCCCTCCCAGTAGTTCCTGGAGAGGAAGAGTTTTCAATTTATCCAACAGAACCTTTTTTCTCTCTCTTCCATGGTTTACAAAT